GCTAAGGGGGAGGGAGGTGGGAAGGGGTACACTGGGAGTTCAAAATTTGTAGATACTGACAGGCATATGTAGACTAGATAAACAAGATTATATTGTATAGCACAGGGAAATATATACAAGATCTTGTGGTAGCTCACAGCAAAAAAAACATGACAATGAATATATGTATGTTCATGTATAACTGAAAAATTGTGCTCTAAACTGGAGTTTGACACAACATTGTAAAATGACTATAACTCAATAAAAAATGTTAAAAAAAAAAGAATCATCCACATACTTTTTTGTATATTCTCACCTTTTAAAAAAACCACAATAAAGACAGTCTGAGAGCTGGAGCCATCAGTAGAGCTGCCTGCTTCCCAGGAACAAACAAAATGGATAAGCTGACCCTGAAAGGGCAACTAGCGTGATGCAAGGCTTGGGGGAGGGGAAGGAAGCAGGATTTGGCAGAGGGAGGGGCTGGACTGTGGTGCAGTCTCGAGGGAGGCCCCGGGGACCCTACAGGAGTGGCCAAGAGGGGATTAGGTCAAGTGTGCAAGGGTGGCCTTGGATAGGAGCACAGGCTACAGCAGGTTTTCTTAATCTCTGCACTTTTGACATTTTTGGTGAGATAATTCTTTGTTGTGAGGAGGCTACACTGTGCATTGTAAGATGTTTAGCTGCAACACTGGCTTCTACTTATCACTCCCTTTGTAACAACCAAAAATGTCTCCAGCAATTGTCAAATGTCTCCTGGGAGGCAAAACTGCACCCATTTGAGAAGCACTGATCCACAGTAAAAGAAGGAAAGGTAAAGCACTATCAGAGGATAAGACAACCACTCAATGTATGAAATAAAAAGACAAAGCTGAGCTTATTGCTCACTGTAGGTAGTGAGAGTTATGCTTATCAAGCACAGGCTTAGAGCAGACCAAACTGCTAATCTTATATTGGATTCTGAGACAGTGGGGAGTTCAGACATTGATGAACTTTCAGAGGTCTAAGTATGTTGACACCATCTGTAGAAGCGATAACTTGGGGGAGACTATTGTGGATTGGTTGGCACTCAGAGGCGTGTGTATTGAAGTGAGTCTATAATTGGCTGATTTTCAGAATCAATGAGTTGTCTTTGAGCTTGCAAAAGTATGTTCACTGGGGTGAGTTATCCATTGACTGAACTTAAAACTGGTTCTGTAAACAATAAAGTCCTACTGTATAGCACAGGGAACTGTACTCAGTAACTTATAATAACCTATAATGAAAAAGAATATGTATAAATATAAATGTAGAACTGAATCATTATGCTGTACACCAGAAACTAACATAACGTTGTAAATCAACTATAATTCAATTAAAAAAAAACTGGCTCTGATTTCTGGCTATTACCAAGGGAATGTAGAAACAAAAAATTCTCAGTACTCTATATGCTGGTGGGTAGACATGGTGGTGGAAATTTGTGGACATTCTCTTCTGATTGCTTTCACTACTTAAGCGAAATAGGAAATAAAGACATCAGCAGACAGGGAGGATGGATTCAAAGAGGCACTGAAGGTTTGGGAGAGAGATTATGAAATAGTCATCTATGCAAGTAGGAGAGGAGGTAGACTAGGGAAATGTAATATGATTACTGGGCAGCATTAATGGCTTACTTGAGGTCAACAATATAAAGAGAGACAAATCAGCATGTGTGCATTTTTCTTTCACCATATTCAGCTGAAAGAGTGCAGGAGCAGAGAGGTGAAAAGTTTGAACTCAATTGTGATCGAGGTTTTGCCAAATGAGTACTACAAAGCAAGAAAGGTTCAAGGAAACTGAGAATACATTCAAGAGAATGTATAATTTTTAGCTTATTTATTTTGCTTTTCATTATAACATTATCAAACATAATCATGGAAAGAATAACATAATGAGCCCCTGTGCATATGTCACCTAAACCCAACAATTAAAAACATTTTGCGATCTTTTTTCATCTATTCCTCCTCATATTTTCTCCTCCTTCGGATTTTTAATTTCTGTATGCTAAGCATGTGCTCTACCATTGAGCAATTCCCCCATCCCCACCCTCAGAATTTTAAAGCAACTCCCAGACATCATACTAGTTCACCCATAAATACCTCAAGATGTATCTCCTATAAGTAAGGACTTTTTAAAAACCATAATCACAATGCCATTATCACAAATAACAAAACTAGCAATAAGTCTTTAATATTAACTAATTCTCAGTCCCTATTCAAATTTTGCAAAAGAATGATGATAATGATTGGCAATTAACTTAAGCTGGCTAAGGAGAGAAGAAATATGGCAGGTAGTGGAGTGAGGGACAATGTAAAGGCTTGATCAGCAAGCTGAAGGTCCTAGTGGGTGGGTATATTACTGGAGTTAGGAGCCCACACAGAGTGAGCTGAAGGGTCGGGATGGTCCTACTTTCATCTTTGCCCATTTCTCAGTGACATCAGTCATCTTTGTTGATTTTATGAGACAAACTCCTTCCAGTCTGGGCTGCTGGGAAATTCTGTGCAGATCTCTTTCCCACAATCTCATCTATTTTAGCTCCAGCATTGATACTCTCAGGAGAATGTGCAGACTGAATTAGGTCCTTCTTTTTATACCCTTGGTACTTCTTTGGAGCACTTATAAGTTCAAAACTGCAGGAAAACTTTTTTTTTTAACGTCTAATTCTACTAAAAACTACGTCTCCTTTGTTCACTGCTGTCATTGCCAGCGTCGAGGGCAGCGTCAGTAGGATACCCTCAATAAGTATTTTTTGGACAAAGCAGGGAGGGAGTGTTTGATAATGTCAAATACCAGTGACTTCTAGACCCACCTGTAATGGGGCTTCTAAGAAGGGTTCTAAACTATTTACTCTCAAGTGACGGTCAGCATTTCCTCACATTTAAAAAGCTATAACTTAGGAGGGCCTTATGAGTTAATTACTTTAAGACTAAATGGGGCCCCTCACCCCTGCTTGAATTCGGAGACAGCGCTCTAAAAACCCCTTATTAACCCAAATATGCTCATGCATAAAGGAAATGACTAATCTAGGTATCTAACCAGAGCCCTGCCGTGATGGTTTACCTCTTTCTAAAATGAGGGTTTCTAAGATGGCCAAGAAAGGCTGAGTCCCGCAGTCAGACTCGGCAGGTCGCGTGGGCAAACGCGCTGGAGGCCGCCTCCAGGGGAGGATCTTAAACACCCAGAACGGAAGTTCCTGAGTCTTCACACCCGCGGGAAGCAACTCGGCGATGGACCAAGATGGCGGCGCCCAGTGAGGGGCCGGCGTTTGCCGCGGGGGTCGAAAAGAATTGGAGTGCGGTTGTTCGCTCCCCCGAAGGGACTCCCCAGAAAGTCCGTCAGCTAATAGATGAGGGGATTGCTCCAGAAGAGGGAGGTGCCGAGACGTGAGTCTGCGAGTCCACCATGGGTCTGGCGACGGCAGTTGGACAGGGTTTGGGGAACGCGGGCCAGAGGGGATACCCTGGGTCCGTAACTCGGGTCATGGGGATACTTTCATCTCGGGATCTCAAAGAGACTGGGGTTACTACTTAGTTGACTTTAATGTCCTACTCGGGAGGTACTGAATTCCGCACCGCAAGCGGAATTTTGCCACAAGATGGGTTTTTGCGGGGAAGGAAAAAAAAGGACCGCTGAGTATGCGCACCTAACTTAGTTGGGATTCCTAACCTTTTTTGAGCCCTAAAAACCTTTGGCAGCCAGGTAAACCTTATGAACACCTTCTTAGAATTATATTTTTTAAGTGCATAAAGTAAATTACATAGGATTATAAAGGAAACAAATTACGTTGGAATGCAGTTATTAAGATAGTGAAAGAAAAAGAGTTATACGGTAAAACCGCAAAGATTAAAGAGTTAAATAATATCTAGTATTATACCTATTATCTACCATAATTTTGAAGTAGTAATGAACATAAATGGTATTTCGAAACAAGTGAAACAACCATAATGTGGTGACAAAATACTTGTAATTTCCACTGGTGACAAATTTACAGGTACTGCTGATGTTACTATGGCTTTTTAGATTACCTTTGTTCATAATGGAAGGCAATGCTCCATTTCAGTTAGGGGTTACTAAAGTTAATGTCATTTTTTTTCCACCCAAGTTTATGGATCCTCTGAACTTTTTTCCAAGAAGCACATCTCCTTCAGGCTCTCTCTGACTCTTAAAAGGATTCTTAGAATAAATTAACTTCTTTTGAGTTACATTGTTGGTGTAATTCTAATTTTAGTTAAATTACTTTTGTCTTCAGCAGTTCCTCCCTCTATCCCTTCTCAGGAGCTGTTGAAATGCCTTTCGTGGAAAATAAAAGAATTGTTCTGCTGGGGTTTTTCTCCTCCCTGGATTTTTTTCATGAAATATCCTACAGGTCTTTTACTTTGATTTAAATTTTCAAATTAGTTCTTTTGGGGGAAGAGAGGGATCAAGGGTCAATCCAGGTAGAAATATCAAAATTGTTTTTTGCTGTTAAAAGTGTTGAATATCTAAGGTGATTCAAATTGTATAATGCACAGAAGCCTGAGTCTTATTTTGTGTTTACTGAAGTTGTGCAAAATACTATTGGAGAACAGTAAGTGAGGTGGAAGAACAGTTTGCCTGTATAGGATTAGTCGAGCTTGGTGAAGGTAGAAATTGCTTGAAACTTAGATTTGACCAACCTGTGAAGAGATTTGGATGCCAGACGAAAGAATTTGGATTCTATTTAGTAAGTATTTTGAAACCATTGAAAATGTTAAGCAGAGAAATGACATGACTGAAATGAATTTTAGGAAGGTTAAAATCCAATGTGGTGTGCAGAGAAGCTAGATAGAAAATGTTTAGGCAAAGTAATGCTGTGAAAGGATTACCAACAGTTCTGCCACTTTATTTTAGGAAGGACACATCTGCCACATTCCAGTCAGTTAATGGATCACCCCAGGCAGAAGACCCTCCATTGGAATCTACAAGCAAAGAAGCCTTCTTCAGCAGAGTGGAAACATTTTCTATATCCTTTTTTAGTTCATGTGAATTGTACTTTCTGCCTGCTTCTGGAATTGTTATTCTCCCAGGAATAACACCCCTTACTCTGATATTTTAATTCTTAGAATTAGACTTGGGTGAGACATTTTTTAAGGAATATTAGCATTATAAAATGTTATCCCAAAAGGGACATTTGAAATCTAACATTTTCTTTTTTAAAGAAAAAACTAAAAGCCTGAGAGAAGAAAGAATAATAACTAACATTTTGATAATGTGCCTTCACATATATTATCACACTTGATCTTCACCTTAAACCTACAGAAATAGGTATTGTTATTCTCATTTTACAGAAGAGGAAACAGTTTCAGGTAGGTGATGTGACTTACCTAGGGTCAACCTGCTAGCAGATGGCAGAGCCAGGATTATAGCGTAAGGCTCTTGGCACCCAAACGTAATGTTTTTTGAGACGATACGACACTTCCTGTCTCTTTGAAGATTTTCCTCTCTATGTTAGTTATCTGTAGTTGCATAACAAATTACCCTAAAACTTAGTGGCTTAAACCCACAAGGACTTATTATCTCACATCTCTGTGGATCAGGAATCCAGGCACAGCTTGGCTAAGTCCTGGCTCAGGGTCTCTCTCAGATGTAGTCAAGATGTTGACTAGGGCTGCAGTCATCTCAGGGCTAGACTAGGAAAGGATCCACTTCCAAGCTCACTCATGTGGTTGCTGGCCAGATGAATTTCCTCATGGCTGTTGGATTGAAGGTTTCATTTCTATCCTGGCTATTGGCTGGAGACCTCACTATGTTGCTTGCTGTGTGGGCCCCTCCACGGGGGCAGTTTACCTCATGGCGGTGGGCTTCCATCAGAGTGAGCAAGCAAGAGAGAGCAAGATAGTAGCTAGATTCTTTTTGTAACCTAATCTCAAGTGACATCACATCACTTTTGCCATTTTCTATTCACTGGAGTATTTGGGTTTTGGGTTTGGTGTTTTTTTTTTTTTGATAATTATAGACTTAGAGAAAGGTTACCCAGGTTACAAAAAAACTTCCTTCTGAGTATGCAGAAGTAAATTGCCAAAGTAATACCTCATTACCCCCAAATATTTCCCACAAACAAGGACTTTGTCTTACATAACCACAATTAAACCATCAAAACTAGGAAGTTCACATGATAAATTACTGCCATCTAACCCTCAGACCATAATCATTTCATCACTTGTCCTAATATTCTTTACAACAAAAGGATTCAGTTGAGAATGCTCAATTTTTTCCTTCAATTTCATGACCTTGATACTTTTAAAGATTATAGGCCAGTTATTGTGTAGAATATGTGTGTGTACTTGTCTGATGTTTCATTATGATTAGATTCAGTTTATGCAGGAGCATCATAGAAGTGATACTGTGTTCTCATTGCATCCTGTCAGGTGGCACATTATTCTGATCTATCCCATTACTAGGGATGATCATTTTGATCAACTGATTAAGGGAGTATCTGTCAGTCTTTTCCACTGTGAAGTAACTCTTTCCTCCTTGGTAATTAAACTTTTAGTGGGGGCTGCTATGAAACTATGATCCCATTCCTCATCAAACTTTTTTTTAAACTTATTTGTAGCAGCATAGGCTTATGATTTCCTTTTTTATTCATTGGGTTATAATCCATTACTGTTACATAAATTTTGACACTCCAGTTGTCCCTGATTTGGTGAGTGGGAGCCCCATTAGATGCTCTTTTTACCCGACTTGGCTCCAGCACCCCAAAGTGGGCCCACCCCTGTGTGGACTCCCTCTTCACCCAACTTGGGTTTTGATTCCCAGCACTGAGCTGCCTCTCCCCACCCTCCTGTTTCTGTCCTCTGCCTTACTCACCACATGATGGCTTTAGGACAGAATTGCTCAAGAAGGGGAAGGTATTTTAACCATCCTTCTACTGCTGTTCCTTGGATTAATTCCTGACATTGATACAGCATTTAGAACTATTTCCTTTTGTGGTATTGTTGTTGTTGTTGTTGTTGTTGTTCCTATAGGTATAAATTGATTGCCACTTTGGATATTTAACTTAAGCTAGTTAAGTGATTCTGTTACTTTTATTCTAACAATCCCAGCTCCTTTAACATTTACATCTAAATTCTGTTTCTAGCCTTCAGTCTCCTTCTGCTGATGTTGGAATGTTTTCAAAATCCCATTATCCCTTATAAAAATATAGAAATTTCCTTGATCTTCATTCATGTTTTATCTTTTATTTTTCCCCTGTGCTCTGTAAAACAAGAGCTCTATAGATAAAAGAAAAAGCTGAGTGTTGAACATTAGAGATCAGTAAATGTTTTAGGACATTTTCCCAAGCACACATTCATGGATGACCTTGATGTTCTTGGTCTATTTAAGGCATATAGGAGAGGCTGTGGAGAAAAGGGAACCCTCCTACACTGCTGGTGGGAATGCAGTTTGGTGCAGCCACTGTGGAAAGCAGTATGGAGATTCCTCAATCTCCAT